TTTGAAAAAAGTGACATTTTTGTAAAGATTTCAAAAGTGTGGCATTTTTTTAAATTGGCATTTGAAAAATGGCATTTTTGTAAAGTGACACTTGAAAAGTGGCATTTTTTGAAAATTCTCTAAATAATATAGATATAGGCCTAATTAGTTATAATCCACTCTCATGAATGACTACTTTATTATTTATATGAGTTACAATCTTTAAAGTGTTTCGGTTTTCTGTTTTAAGAAAAATTATGAGAGTCGTAATGATAATATTAAAGCTGATTGTTTAGCATATAATTCACAATGTAAGATTTTCTTGTTTTTGGTTGTAAACCATTGTGTCATGTTGGTTATACGAAAATGCATGGAACATATTCACTTAACTCTATTTTTATTTGATCATTTGAAATAGTATCATGCTTTAGATTTATTACAAAATTCGGTGAATTCACTACTCAACGGCTATATTCATTTGAAAGATTATCGGATGATATAATATTCGGATCACCCATGATTATATTATATATATGTGAATATTTATCAGCAAATAAATATATTTAAAAAAAAAAAAATTAAGGACCATTTCTCATGAAAATATGTTTTTTTATTGTTAGTTAAATAATTGGATTTTTCTTTATAAGGAAGGAAATTGGGTAGTCACCAACTGGTTGTTAAGGTCCTATAATCCCTCAATTAAGCAATTGAGCAGGACACACACTTCTTCCTCAAAGACTATTTCTCAGGCAAATCAAATTTTCTAGTTTCAGGGATGGTTTTGTAATTTTAACATCTTAATATCTAATATATTAATTTGTTGACATTTCTACTTAGTTGTTTATTTATTAATTAGGTTAAGGTTAGAAAATTCTGAAACTAATTAGTTTCCACCTTTGCACGTCACTTAATAAGAAATGTGTGCCCGATGATGTATTACGCGAAGAAAAAAAAACACGTATACCTATCAAAAACAGTAGATTTGATGTGTTAATAAGAAAAATGTTGATTTGATTTTAGTTACAATATTTATAGAGAGTTGTTGACAAAAGAAAAATATTGATAGAGTTTTGTCGTTATGATAATTTAACAATCATATATCATAGATTAGTTATGAAGTATCATGTCACGTAACACATGTTTCATGTTCGATTCTAACCAGGGATTCTAAAATTATGTACAATTTTGTTAAAAAAAAAATGTTGGTTCACACTAACCTATGATTTTATCAGCACAACAACAACTAATTTGAGATGCTTTTGCTTAATTAATCTATTAAGCTTTGGTGGAGAAATTTGATAATAAAACAATTCAACGGTTGCTTGAATTTGTGTCCAAGCTATTAAACTTCACCAAAAACAACAAAATACTATTCGAAATTCAACTCTTTTCTTCATTTAAAAACTGTTTTGTTATTTTTTTAATCTATTTATTTGAATATAAACACCAAGTCAAGTCAATGACAACACAGTATTCGTTCCTGTTCGATGATAGTTTTTTGTTTATCTATAAATTTATAATAGAAAGTCGTATTTCTACAAAATATTCCCTATTATCTGTTAATAATCCAAACATAAAATTAAAATATTATAATGAAAAAAATGTCTGCTCTCGCGTGCTCTTCTCTCAATGGTTGGCACAGAAACAAAAAAAAAATGATAAAATTTGTATATAGAAGCTTCGGTGGATTAAAACATGAATAAATAATTACTGGTAGAGATTGTCAAAATTTCTGCATAAAATTATGATATTTGTTGAAAAAAAAAAGATTATTATTTTATTAATTTAAAAATCTAGTGTTTGTTGTCGAGGTTCCAATGATAAGATGGGTTGGTTCTTGTTCTTTGTGAGTGAC